CCCAGCAGCCCCCGGCCCCCCCAGCGGGAGGGGATGGGACACAGAGACCGACCTACGCGGGTAAGGGGGCATCTGGCACCCACGGGGTGGTCCTGGCACGTGTGTAAATGTGTGTGGGGTGTGTGTGCAGTGCTCTCTGCCTTGGCCAGCTGTGAAGACCCTCACCCTGGCTGGGGGTGGCATAGCATCTGCATCCTCTTCCTCTTCATCCTCCTCCTCCTCCTCTGCCCTTTCCCTGCCCAGTTCCCCACACACAGACGGGTGCAGAGGGGAGTGATCCCACTTGTGCCTTTTGGCTTTTCAATTTTCACTCTCGAGTGCGTTGGCTTTTTCTCCCTGATGATTTTGTCCTTTACCTGGAGGTGGTAACGTTTCCTGTTTTTAAGGGAGCAGCGACACGTCTTCGGAGACCTCGGAGGACTCGGACAGCAGCCCTTCCTGCCCGCAGGTACCAGAAGCAGCCTCCAGACCCACGGGGGGACACACAAATGCATTGAACCGTATTGAAACAGCGGCAGGGAGGCCGGGGCGGTGGCTGTCACCTGCCCCACGTGATGTCCCCAATTATAGGGGAGCATCCCCAATTAGAGGGGAGCATCCCCAGGGCTCACCCTGAACGGCCACACGCCATGGTGTGGGCTCAAGGGCAAAGCCGCCCCTGGGGGTGCCAGTGCCTGACCCGGGATTTGCTTCTGCTTCTGCAGGACCCTCGCTCGGAGGAGAACCTCAATTACACAGCCCTGGTCTTCCCGGGGAAAGGCCGCGGGCCGGGCTCCACTGGCGACTACGAGAACATGAAGACGGGGGTGGACTACGTCAACGTGGACCCCAAAAAGAGGAAAGGGGATTTCTGGCCCTGCTCCAGCCCCGTGGCGTCCAAGTCCATCGAGTACACCGAGGTGAAGCTGTGACTGCCGGGATGCTGCGGGTTTGGGGTCAGACCGGGCTGGGGAGATGCCTGAAGCCCTTGGTCAGTGCCTGGCATGGCTGGCATCTGCTGCTTTTATTCCTCCTGATGCTCTGACCCGCTGGCACAACTTGCTTGGTGTTTTCCTTAAATGCACCTCTGTTCCTGAAGGCTGCTGAGCGTGGGATGGTGCGGGAAGCGCCCATCCTGCCCAGGCTGAAACTGGAAGGTTTTGTGTCATGGCCCCTTTTCTCACCTCATGAAAGCAAATGAATCATCTCCCCTGCTCCTCAAGATGGGATGTAGCTCAGGGAGGGGAACACAGTGATCTTCAAAACACCCACCTGGGCTGGCGTCTCCTCTGGACCCTGCTTTCTTTGCTGATCGCTGCCATAAAATCCTTTAAAATACAATTCCTGCTCCAGCCTTGCCCTCGCTGCCCGATGAGCCCGATTCCTCACTCTCCCCTGCACCCCTTTTCCTTTGAAGCACAAACGCTTCCCAGGTCCCCGTCACCCTCGGAGCTGTCGCTGGGGCTGGAGGGGGCTGCAGGGTGACAACATTGGGGGTGCCAGGGCCGGGGAGGGGGGTGGCCCTGCCAGAGAGCTTTGTCCTCAGCTGAAAGCCATGATCATCAGCCTGGGTGGGAAATGGCCAGGGGCTTCCCAGGGCATTGAAATCCCCTCTCTGGGCTGTGAGAGGCACAGGACAGGACCATGGGTCTCCATGTGAGCGCAGGCAAGTGAAATCCCTCTGTGTATTGTGGGGAGGGATATTCCCTGTGCCCCACCTTTTGCTGTCCTTGCACCAAATGCCCTGGGTGCAGGAGTCGGGCTCTGCCCCCCCCAAGTGACCCCTGCAATGAGGGGTTCGGTGCCCTGGGCCGGGGCACACCCCACTGTCACCCCCCCACCATGGTCTGGCACCGTGGTGCATTTCCCTTAAGCACTGGTTTAATTCTTGAGTACAGCGCTGCAATTTTCTCCAATAAAATCAATCTGGGGCCTCTCCAGCCTGCAGAGAAGCCTGGGCTGGGGCCGTCGGTGCTGGGAGGCTGTGACATCGCCAGAGGAGCCGTTTGTCCCCATTGGGCAGCAGGGGCATTTGCCAGGTCACCTTCACGCTCCCGGGGTCTCGCCCTGCCCACGGCGGGGGCTCGATTCCCCCTGCTCTGCTGCAGCAAATCCCTGCTGCAAACGGAGCCATCGCTCTGCACTGCGTTACTCATGATTTTTTTAAGAAATAAACTTTTCAAAGCGCTGGGAAACCGTGCGATGGCTCCATTAGGGGTTTGGAGCCGCTGCCCCCCAGCACAGCCCCCGCAGCAGGGATGCAGCTGCCCCCCGTGCATTTCAAATCGGCTCAGCGGCGATGTGCTCTAATGAGAGGTTGTGAGGCGCTTGATTCGGTATCGATCGGGGGGAGGACCTGGCACTCCTGGTTTTATGACTTTGTTGTGCAGATCCGGCCCAGCTTGAAGGGCACATGAAGGAAAACGTTGAAAAAACCCAAGCATTTTCTGGGAAACGTTGCTGAGGGGTGGGCTTAGGGAACTGGAAATGAAGTAAAAAAAGCAAACCAAAACCTGATTCAAATGCCTGGTGATTAAAAAGTGAAAGTAATTGAAGATTTCAAAATACTCTACTCTTAATGTCTTATTTTTACAGATCTAGCCTGTGATAACAGAGGGAGTTGCACCTTGCTTTCTGGGCACTTGTACATCTCCCATCGGCAGCTTTTGGGCTCGGCTCCCGGAGCAAAGGGGAGCTCTCGCCTGCCTCACCCCTGCTTTGTTCCTCAACAAAACAGCTCCTGGGAGACCCCCAGCACACGGGGAGAGGGGCAGGGGCTCTGTTCCTGCCCCCCGATGCTCACAGCAGACGCAGTGCACACAGCAGCAATCACAGCGATGCTTTCTGGGTCACTCAGCTTCCTGCACAACGAGATGCTGCCGGCTGGGGACAGGCACAGCTCCGCGGTCCGTGGTGTCCCGGCCAGTGGCC